AGGATTCCAGTTTTAGATGTCATAACGTCAAGATAGGTAAAAATCAAGATTAGATTTGTATGTAAAACAGTTCATGTTATCTTAAATCAACGATCATTATCAGTCATTGACCTAGAAGTCGTATAATTGTGCGTAAATCTTCGTTAAAATTTCCTTATACGGCTCTACTGTTTAGTACAGAAAATCTATATCAATTTTTATCTAAAACGAGGAAACTTAGCCTGTTTCTTATTTGATTAACAGTAATGAACAGGCAACTATGTGATAAAGGTCGCGGGAAGAGCCTGGATATGGGCAGCGCAGGACTTTTCATTGTGGAAAACCTTGGGGGAAACGAACGAACAAGCAGCTAGAAGCGAGATTCTAGAACTGGCTATCTAATCTCTAGCTGCTGAAACACAAATACTGCTGTTTACATTGTTGTTTTTGCAACAGGTTTAGATAAGATGATAGTACGAATACTAGCCAGGCGGATTTAAAATCAGCCCTACCTCAATCCAAACCGAGCATTTCTTTTCTTAAAGTCAATACGGGACCTCACGAGAACACAGAGGTTATTGAGCATGGGAATTTAAACAAAGTTGATGTCAGTCTTCATGTTCCCAAGATCTAATTTATTAGCGGTATTCATACAAAGTATTCGTATCGCTATAATATCGGAAAAGACATAAATATCAATCAGATTCAGATCAGGCTAATAACTATTATAATAATAATATTCATAGGTTTATGAAAGTAAAACACATTGTTGCATCATGTGCACCCATTAGTATCTAGGATAGATGATAAGGAAACCAGACTTTAATAAACTTATTCATAATGTCCGTCATTAATTATACCTAGTACTTGGATACCTCACCGTAATGGAATTGCTCCTTTGATGTTATTAATCATGCTAGTAATATTTTCGTAAATGCCAATATTATTAAGATCAAATGCCAAATGAGTAAACTGGATTTGAAAATGTTTTCGATGTACACACGGCCACAGTGTTAACTATCCATTTCCGTTTTTACTCTCGCTCTTATCAAATGGGGATTCTTTGCGATAGAACAAGACGACATGACAGGCAATGGATAGTTAGCACTGTTGCCGATGGTACATAATGAGTTCTCGAAATTAAATGAAACCTTTATGTTGGCAATCGTAGACTACTATTCTTGAAACTACGACAATCGAAGGAGATCGTGCTCTGTGGCTCTTCTCAGGGAAGAAGTAATAAGTCAGCTGTAGGCAGCCATTATTATAAAAAGCGGTCAGATGACTGCTGCAGGGCTGCTTACGCTCGTTAATTGTTTAACATCATCGTTGTTTTGGCTATTTGAGGTAAGAGCCAAAGCACACGATGTGTTACGGCGGCGAAGCTGTGTCGCTGCGTCATCTAACATAGAATTACGCGTGGCTGGCACACGAGCTGTGAGGCGATATCTTTGCGGTGCGGTGCCGCAACGCATCATGTGTTTTGGCTCTAAGGTGGCCAGTTTCTCTATGGTTGGAGATTCTGGGAAAAGTTCGCTTCCTCCTTCGTCGCGTCAAGCTTTTGCAAAGATGTTGTAGGGCTGTCTTCCCTGGCTCTAAGATATTGTTGTGATATTGTCATCCTCGTTCTTTTGGCCATTGGAGGTAAGGTGGCCAGTTTTAAGTGTTCAAGTTCTAAGTTCATAAGTGCCACTTGTGGTCTAAACTGAATAAATATTTTTGATATTGATTTTTCATTTTCTATGTGATTGGGGATCCTGGAAAAGCTCGCTTCCACCTTCATCCTTCATTGCGTCAAGCTTTTGCAAAGATGTTAAGCCACGGCTGTCTGCCCTGGAACTAAGATATTGTTGTGACATTGACATCCTCGTTCTTTTGGCAATTGGAGGTAAGTAAGGTGGCCAGTTCTATGTGGTTGGGGATCCGGAAAAAGCTCGCTTATACCTTCGCCCATCGTTGCGTCAAGCTTTTGCAAAGATGTTGCAGGGCTGGTTTCCCTGGCTCTAAGATATTGTTGTGCAAGCCTGTCAGTGTACTCCAGATAAGCATAAACTTCATGATAGACAGCTGAATAGACAAGAAATGATTTCTGACTGCGTAATATCAAAAAAGGAAAAGATTAACATGTACATTTTTTCCTTTCAAACTGTTGCCGACAAAAATGTTATCCCATCAAAAACAATACTTGTCAAAAAAACCAAGTCTCGCAACTCAGTTGTTCTACGGTAAAAAGTTGTGAGATCCATGTAATACCAAGTCCAGGCCAGGAAATCTTTAACGTTTTACATAAATTATTGACTTGGCCATCGCACTAAATAATTTAATTTACACGTGTTTTCATGCGATGGCCAAGTCAATATATTTATGTAAAACGTTAAAGATTTCCTGGCCTGGACTTGGTATTACATGGATCTCACAACTTTTTACCGTAGAACAACTGAGTTGCGAGACTTGGTTTTTTTGACAAGTATTGTTTTTGATGGGATCTCATTTCTTTTTGTATTTTGTAGACAGCAGTTATGTATCTAGAAAACTGGACCGAAATTGAAAAATTTTACTCGACTTGGCGGTTGCACTACCGTGCCCCCAAATATTTTAGTTTTTCCTTGATTCATACACCAAACACTACTTATATTCCAAATTTGAAGCTTCTAGGTCTGCTAGAAGTGCCTTAGAATTTTGATGATCGGTGAGTCAGTCAGTGAGTGAGTCAGTGAGTCAGTGAGTCAGTCAGTGAGTGACAAAATTAAGTAACTTTGACCCGTTATAATTCTTAAACTACTGGTTCAAATTGAATGAAATTTTAAATATACCGTGTCTTTACAATGCCTGCATAGCTAATGAAAATTCAGCCTTCTAGTTTTATCCACAACGAAGTTACAGGCGGTCGAAAATGGCCTGAATTGCTTCGAGAAAAGGATGGTACGGCCGTGCCGCTTTTTTGCTCGACTTGGTGGGGGCACTGCCGTGCCCCCAGATCACCGCGGCCTCTGCGTGCAATACCATAAGTTGGAAAAGAGCTTTTTATTGAAACACAAAATTTACTTGGTTTGGGATTAAAGTGTCAAATAAGCTGAAAAATAAAGTTAAATTATTGTAAATAAATGAAGAAGCAATCTTTCACATTTCACTTCAATAATAATCTTTCAAAGATTGTATGAAGTCAATCAAATAAAGTATTTTACTTTGGGCCTAGATAGCGCTGTGTGAAATTGTCCAAAGATATTTATTATAATTTATATTTAGAAGCCACCATAGCCGAAAACAAGGAATGGTAGTATAGCTTATTAAGACTTGTTATAAATTCAGAATAATATTTATTTACTTAGTTCGTAATGTAAATCATTACGAACTAAGTAAATACGAACTTAACTTACGAACAAAACAAAAATATGCGTCAATAATCGGTAACTTGAATAGAACTATTTAATTTTAATGGTATTAATCATCCCACACATTTTTAAATAAGGTTATACATAATTGCGTTCTAATCCAATTTGTAAGTTAATCTTGTTTATAAACAAGGTTTATAAATAGCCATTCTTTTAACTAAACCGGTTTATTGTTATTATTACCACAAAATAAATGTTTAAAATGCAAGTTTGTTGCTTATATTACTTGACCGTAGGCAACTTATGTTGGTATTGCATCATTTCTATTAATTAATTCATCTCACTCAATCTAATTGATTGTTGCACTAATCGTTTTTTTATTCGTGAATTAGCATTTGTTTTGTCCTTATTTTTCCTACGCAATGATCTTTGTGATTTCTTGAGACACAAGCCCTTTGCATTAATATTCTAAGCCCTGTTTATAAAAGTATTTTTAAAAATGTTTTTTAATTAATTTTTATTATTTATTATTAAAAAACTATTCTCATCCAAACTCACCCTAATCTTACTCGTATATGAATTCACAATGAAATTGTAAGCTTTCTAAAGAGCTTTTGTCACGGGAGTTTGTTTACTTTTTAGTTTATTATAGATATTGTAGGGATAGTTAATTCCACATTAAACTACCACAAAATAGTGTACGTACAGTCAGCGTCAAATAGTTCGTGACACCCAAAGTAGCCAAAAAGATCGCGACACGTCTGTTTTACAATTGGAATACCTAAGGTTGTGTTGTCAGCTTTAAGGCCGCTTTGGGTGTCACGAACTATTTGACGCTGACTCTATCTTCTCAATGAGGGCTATCGTTTTTATACTTAACAGTTGGCACCCCTGGCGATTGACAGGACCTTACTCTACAGTGGCGCCATCTTGATGAGTGCAAGTACGATAGTCCTCCTACCACTTTCGCGCTCACCAGTTGGTGCCACTGACTTCGCTACTAGCAAGTGACAGGACCTTACTCTACAGTGGCGCTAACTGGTGAGCGCTAAAACGATAGCCCTCATTGACTTTGGACCTTATTTCTTATTCAAGTGCTTTTACCACCAAAAGTGTGAAGTAAAGCAAATACAGTCGTGTGTCGGATTACTCGCTTTATACTAAAGTATCTTCATCTTTATTTAACCGTTGGATTAAAGAGAGACAGCTTTAAGTTGAGCTGGGGGCACTTAATTGCAGAAATGATAAAGTTCCCAATGAGCTTGCTTAACTTAGATAGAGTAACTTTTGAGTGCCGCTCTGAATAACAGAGTGTTTTTAGGAGTAAATAAGTTCATAATAAGTGACTGCAACGATACTTCATAGAAATATAGGGTTCAGAGGTGGAATTGTGTAAAGCAATCGTAATCATTTGACAGTTCATAACGTACGATAAAATCCGTTGAACAAAGCGTTTGACAGAATAATCGTACGTTATGTACTGTCAAATGATAACTATTGCTTTACACAATTCCACTTCAGTTTAACTTACTCGTAAAGTTGTTTTAGAGGTGGTAGAACATTTTTTTACGCAAAGCAAGACAGGTGTTTAACGGAAATTACTTCTGATGCTAAGTGAGATGCAGTCTAGGATGGTACCATACCTGCCCTGTTAGTCCATAAATAAAACACTGGATAATTAACTCGCATTTGTATTTTCATATTACAAAAAAGTACCAACTTAAACAGTAGAAAAAATACCAATTTCTTTTTGTCGTGGCGTCATGTCAGTGGGAAGGAAAATCCAGCTGATTTGGTTTCGCGTGGCGTCTAGTAAAAAAAAACAGAAGAAAAATACCAATTTCTTTTTGTCTTTTTTAGCCAAAGCAACTTTAAAAATCAATATACAAAGCTCTATTCTCCTTTCTTTTCAGCTTTAATCTCCACATTCCTACTGACGAACATCAGCCAAAACAATCCAGAGACTACGAACAGCCACTGGATGGGGGCAGCAAGACTCCATGGAGCCAAAGACCTGATCAGCACAACTGACGCTATGCATCGGACCATCTCGTATGCTGGCACCTTTGGAGAAGCATCCAGGATCATCCCGAAGACGGTTAGAGAGCCGAGGATGTAAAGTAGCAGGGTGAAGGTGGTAGCAGTCGGCAGAGTCTGTAAGGTAAGAAATATTAAAAAATACTAGTTACAAGATTATTCACGTATGTTATTTCATCCTGGGTGGGATGAAAAAATCATTTAGGTTATTATCTAGGTGGTGATATACATTTGATGGGATGAAAGTTTTCTTAAAGTGACTATACAGGGTGGAAACGTTAAGTGATCTCACTCGATTATTTCTAAGTTATACAAGATATCGAAAAACTGATTACTGATTCTGAAAGTGCTTCACAAGCTCTTTCAAACGGTACCAATATTAATTACATACTAAACTGGATCTATCCAAAAATTCAATGATTCCAGCTTCCATACATTTAGTAAAACCAAATAATATTAAAAACTATACAAGATATTCAAAAACTGGTTACTGATCCTGAAAGTGCTTCACGAGCTCTATCCAACGATACCAATAATAGGTTACAAAATTAACTGGATCCATCCTAAAATTCAATGTTTCCAGCTTGCAATATTTAGGTATTGTGTGTTAAAAAAATGTATGAAACATTTAGTTCTTGAACGTTTCCGCTAGCGGCGCTGTACAATCCGTCGTACATTTTATGTAATTTTTTTTTATGTAAACTCACACTAGGCACTCAGATGAGATTATTTGTGTTCAAAAAGTCAAAATGTTCAGTAATTACTACTTCTAACTTTTATTTCATATAGATACAGAACCATTGGTTAAAATTTAGCCTATTGTTACATTGGTAGATGTCTCTACCACATTTTCTTAGCAAATTAAAAATTAATTATTTTATTTGTATCTCAAAGAATATCATTTGTATGAATCATTGTCCTGAATCTCTGACTAAAGAAATACATTTCTGACCTTGTCAATGAAATGTGATCTTATTATACAAATCTACATGGTCTCAAAGGTACGTAGGAAGTTCCAAACTCACCTAAAGGAACTGATTCCACACGCCCCTAGTTACAAGTGCTTGAAAGTTTTTCCGTATTGGTAGGCGTCATGAAATATGTATAAGGCTTACACAAGAGGCGGAATCATGGTTTCCCGATGGAGTTTCGCCACACTAATTTACTTGTAATCAATGGCGTTGTTGGTCATAAATAACAAAATGTTTCAGTAAGTGGGTAATAAATGTAAGGCTGAAGGGAACTTCAGCCGATAATGTCCCTCCCGCACGAACACCGAGTTATACCGCCGGCCAGTAGTCATATCATAGGTCATAGGTTCGAATTTTTTTTTAAAGTATTCTTTTTAACACTGAAATCATCATGTGACACTAATACCCGTTTTCATCAAGAATACCTAATATTAAGTGACCCCTATGAAAACAAAGTTCCTGTTATGTGTTACCATAGGGGTCACTTAAAATTAGGGATTGATGGAGAAAACGCGCTTAAAGCTTGCATTATCTTGTCACTGAAACCACTAGGCACTACCTACTTGATTTCTTCTTCTTATTGTTTGAATATGGCTCAATCGGTCCGACGGCTTTCGAAGCACATAATCGTAATTATTTATATCTGGACAATAAAGTTGATTAAAGCTGGCCATGTTCTAATAAAACTGCGATTTTTGTGTCTTATCCAGATTTCGAATCTCGGACTTAGCGTATCCAAATCCAATCTTCGACCACCAGATTACGGAGATACGGCATTAGATAGATAGATGAAACACTTAATTCGACGCTACACAAAAAAAGAAAGAAATACACAAAAGAGACAGCATAACTTGGCGGTCTCATCGCTATGAAGCGATTTCTTCTAGACAACCTAGAGAAATGTTTCCTGGGTAAAATAGCAAGAGTTTTAATTAGTCTGTCAGTTAGCTTATCAAAAACTACTCGACACCGTATTTTTCACTTTTTAAAACTAATGAAAATGTTATGAGATAAAGCGTGCCATAGTTCTAAAGAAAAGGCCCGTGACGTCAGTGAGTGCACGCACTTCAACGCATTATAACTTTGTTATTATTTGTTTGATTGTTAATTAAAAATATACGTGTCCAATATTTTTTTTACATTAAAATTGACGGACTAAAATTTTTTTTTTTAGGAAACTAGCCGGTTGTATATTATTATTTATTTATTTTTATTTATTTTATTTACACTTTTGCACATACAACTGTACAGTGGCGGACTTAATGCCAGGTGGCATTATCTGCCAGTCAACCACATTATTATAAGTAAGCAAAAGTATTAGCACAGAATAATGATAAGTACTACGTACAGAAGTTTTACTTCGCAAAAGTACTTAAAAAAATTATGCTCAATGTCATTAACAATATGGTGTAATTTAGTCTGTCTCAAGAGTCAAGCACCATTTTGTTGACAAACGTCAGTGATCGGCACTGCGCCGAAGCTATAGGGCTGACTTCGGTAAAATGATGTGACGTGAGATGCCAAACTGCGGAAAATGGCGAAGGAAATACATGATTTAGCATGAATTATCATGAATAATATTAACTACTTATTTACCTCTCAGTGTCTTGAGGCAACTTAAAAAGTACATTCTGTGTTTTTATTATTATTTAGGCAGTTAAATACTGCACAGTATTTAGTACACCATTTTCTTTATTTTCTTCCATCATACACAAGAATACGCGTGCGTGAGTCAATGTTCGCTCATGTGAGGCCTTGTCGAATAGTATCCTGTAGGTGGGCCATCGTGCGTGTTTTGTTTTCGATGTAAACTCGCGGAGATGAACAGGCCTGGTATTAGCTAGAAAAAGTGACATTATAGACTTAATAAATCATCCAGGTATACTAACCGTGTGCATCAAAAACAGTTGATGGAACCCGCACAGCACCAGCACGTAATGTATGACGAGGTACGCTGAGCACCAGCTCGGCAAAATGACGTCATATTTCACCCTCGTATAAATCGCGGGCTGGAATAACGGAATATTATATCAGGAACAATGATATTGTGCGGCTTTTGCTTTGATTTATTATAATCCTCGCACTAGGTTTCGGCGGTTTATTTGACCATTTTTGGGGACAGCTGCTGAAAATGCTAAAAGATACTGTAGTATTCTGTAAATACTGACAGACGCCAATATACAAATAAGGTACTTGATACAAATAAGGCCTACGTTCTAATAAGGCCTATACATCAGAAAACACAGATAAATAAATCCGAGCGGGATAATACTTCAAGGACACGTACTCATATACCCTATAACCCAGTAGAGAGCAAGAGCGTCCCGATCCACTATCCCAGCACCAATTGGCACGCGTTCTTCTAAGGTGGTGGGTGATTTCGTGCTCTCTTATAAAAATCTGGCGATTTCATCTTCAATTTTCGGTAAAATGACGCTGTTTTAGATTAAGCTTTCCTTAGTAATCATTTCTAAATATTTCTTACTAGCTAATAATTACCTTAATTTGTACTACTGGCTATAGATGCATTATTTGTAAATTTTTAAAGACAACAAGAGCGAGATATCTAATAAGGCCTAGGCCTTATTTCAGCATGGTAGGCCATATTAGATATTTATGTCAACACCTGATTACGGACAAATTCATTAAACTAAATGAGTCAAAGAGTAACTAAATATTTATTTAACCCAGATACTCCTGAAACTTTTTATCCTTGTCAATTTTTATAAATTTTTAGTATGTTTCTAAATAGAGGTCAAGTATCCACAGAAAAATTTTAGAAAAATTCTTGGTCAACTGGAAAAGCCGGAAAATGGGTGGTGTTATAACACCTGGTCGGAGAATGGACTACTACTACGTGATAAAATTATACTATGATTTTGTTAGGTTTAAGAGTTAAAAACGAGTTGTAAGTTATACACATTTATTTAAAAAATACCAAAATCTTATTCAGAGGAGGTAGGAGGATGGTGGAGACATAAATCATAACCCAGGATACTTTAGTACGTGGCGCATTTTTTACACCAAATTGTTTTTTTCTTGCAAATTTTATATGTCAGTTGCATGTAGTACTCGTAAGTACAGTAGTACGAGTATGTACTCGTCTACGGGTCTACCGGGTCTACGGAGCTTACATCCCTATGTATGTACATAGGGATATAAACTCCGTAGACCCTGGTTGTGGCGCCATTCTTCATAAATATTGTTTGGCACAAACTTTAACAGAAGGTACTTGCACTATATTGCATTGTTGTAATAATTGTGATTGCGGTAGGTACTTTCTTGGCAGAAGAACTAGCTGCATTGGAGGCATCATTAGATTCATTTCGTCTTACTTTAAAAAATTCAGAAAGCGGGTTGTTATCCTCTTTGTCTGAAGAAGACTTGTCGTACTGTACTTCTGCCTCGGCTCTAAGTTGAGAACCTGGTAATTCACGAAAAATAGCAATAGAAAACTTACACGCTATAAGTAACTATAGTTAGATAAACGGAAGCAGGCTAACCTGGAAGATTTTGTAAGGTAACGTGGTCTTCTTCACCAGAATCTTCATCTGTTGCTTCTGCATTAGCATTTTCTGGTGGTAAAATTGCTATGTAATTCGTTATCTGATCATCGTCGTCAATGTTTTCTAATATTTCCACTATTTCGTGAAGTCTCAGCGGTCTTTTATATCGTGGCCTAAACTTTTAATGAATATACAAGTTAGACGTCGATTATGCGACCAGGTGTTAAAACACCGATCGTAATTTTGTCATAAAAAGTCTCAAAAATGTAAAGCTTTTCAAAAACATAAGTTTATAGTTTTGTAGCTAACAGTAGTACCTAAAATAATAACTAGTATAATCTGAGGTATTACTAGCAAGTTTATGAAATATCTTAGCTTTTATATGACGTTTTTGCACAAAACTAAATAACAGAATTCAAAATAGTAAAATACTAACAAAATAAAGCAAATATGCGATATCGAACATACTCAATTACAGCTTGATTCGTAATGAAGAGAAAATACAAGGAACAGTAAATAAATTCTCGATATTTTTATAATTTATCTGAGGATATTCCGAACTACTTTTTAGCGGTGTTATAACACCTGGTAGGAGTAAGTGGGTTAATATGAATGTTACTAACAGCACAGAAAATAAAAAGAAAACTGAGTCGAAAAAAATTACCAAACCTGTAAAAAAATGAAACAAAATACAAAACCAATTAAAAATAAGAAAAAAAGCCGTATGTATAATTCTAAAGGAAAGGAGAATAAAAGCTGGTATTATCATGCCTGTCTCGAAGACAATGTAGCAGATATGCGACTGCTTTTGGTGGTATCACAAAGATTGTGTAGGAGTTCGTAGTGATGATTCAGAAGCCTTTTTATGCCCTGGTTCTAACAAAAATTGAGATCTTATTTTGTTTACATTCGAACACGGTGTTTTAATAAGCCCTATACAAAAAAATTATATTGTTTGTTTTTCTTTTTTTTTTTGACAATTTAGGTAAGGAATCATTACTTTGTTACTATGAATATTTAATTTTATCTATAATTTATGTATAATTCTTAATAAGTGGCATTTTAGTTTATCTAGAGATATACAGTATATTTCTGTTTACTTGGTATGTAAAATTTTGATAACGCAAACAAATCGACGTGTTTTATGTTATAAGACCGCATTTTGTTTAATACAACCTCAATTTTAAGGTCTAGAGGCATTTGAATCATGTAGGCCTTACTCCGTGTAGGTGATTTAATAAAGCCAAAATCAGTGGTTTCGTAATTTGCTTATTTTGAATAGATTTAGTTAAAAATTGTATTATTTTTTGTAATATTGCTAAAATTAAAGGATGGAAGAAGTTAATTAACCTTGTTTTTGTTAATTGGCGTTAATATTTATTGAAATATAAGCATTTAAAGTTAGGTAGGCCTTATTTGTATCAAGTACCTTACAAACATCATCATCATTTCAGCTAGGTATAGGACGTCCACTGCTGAACATGCCTCCCCCAATGACTTACACAATGACCGGTCGGAACGAATACAAAATTCTATGTACCTATTGCAAGAAAATATCGCTATTTCTCTAATATGGTACATCTTTTGCTACTGTAACGTCTGTGCATATGCTTTAATGTGAATGTCAAGTTCAGCCCATTTAAATGTTCGACTGTCTTATGGACCCTTAACTGATTAGATTAGAAAATCATTAGGAATTCGGGATAAGTTCAGACTTTATAATGGTGGTCTATTAATGAACGCAAGTCTTCAAAGAACGCCATAAAGCAGCATGGTTTCTTTTCTATTCTACTGCACATATCTAGCTTTCGTTGGCTGCCCTTTGAAATATGGACAGATTAATAAATAATTTATTTATTTATACTTCAATGCCAAAATTTTAACAAGGCGAACTTAATGCCATAAGGCATTCTCATCCAGTTTACCTAATCCTAATAATGCACCTATTAATAAGGTAGGTATAACTCACATCTTCAGGCATATCCTTGAAACGGACTGAGTTTTCAGGCTTCCAGCTGGGTCTACTGAATACAGCTCGTATCTTGTGAACCCAATTATTGTATTCTTGGAATCTGGTTACCACGTATTTTGTGTAAAATGTCTAAAAAATAACAAGAAATTAACTAACATGCTATACGATTAACAAAACATTTAACTAAAAACTACGATGACCAGATATTTAGGTAGGAGGACTACATAAGTGCTATAAAGGCTTAGGCTGAGTTGCATCACCTTAACTTTAACCTTAACCGCTGTTTTTATATGGGGTCTGACATACTTTTGACGTTTAAATTGTATTTTAAGTAAGATGGTCCGATCCAGGGTTAGACTTTGACTCTGATAAGATTTAGTAGCTACTAACACATTTTTACTTATTCTTAACAATCCTGTTTCTTATAAAAAATACCAACCTGTAAATGCAACGGATTGAAAGAAGGTTGGTTGTAAATCAACCCGTAGACTATACGGTCGCCCTTCTTCTCAAGTCTAAACGTCCCGAAGAGTTTGTCCCAGATAATCAGAACTCCTCCGTAGTTCACGTCAATGCAGAATGGGTTACTTCCTGATAACAGTAAGTTAATTTTATATTTTTTATTATTTTGGAATAACAATAACAATAATAATTTGAAATACAGAACTAAACTAAATGATACTTTAGCTAACAAAGTCTAGTTCTAGGCCCCGTGTTTTTCCGACGGAGTAGAATAAGACCACTTGCACTTTTTCCGTGGATTAAAATGGGGTTATGCCTCCCCAAACGGTCTGGATAGCGTGTGGAAGGCATGGCAAATCCCCCATTTGCTTTTGGTAATTAAAGAGGTCAAAATGAGCTAATAATGATACTCAGATAATGAATTATTCTTCCGGGTCCTGATAATAGCGTTTTCTTATACAATTATTTATTATTAAACAAAATTCATTGCTATAGCAATACGAAGCGAATTTATCCTTATCCTATAGGATAAAGAAACATTTTGCTACAGTTTCACTTCACTGATCATCGCTACGTCTAGCTTTTAAACTTTCATGGTCACTGACAGAATATTTTCTTATTTACGGGATTGCTACCAGATAGGTACCTTAATTTCGAGTCTCGGATATAATATTTGGCACTGTTGCAAGCGCCCACGCCATGATCATGAAAGAGTCCATTTAGTTTATTATAATATTTGCTTGGCATTTCGAAATATTTGATAAACATTACTGATTGAAGTTTGAACGTAGATTGCTTAGCTAGAAACCCAATCACCCTGATGGAAACCTGATACTATCAAATATCTTTAACGAAATTGCTCGCTTCAATGCTTCAGGAGTTTGCTAATTATTGAATTTCTTAGTTCTCTTTCGACTTCGTTCGATCGTACAAGAAAAATAAAATTTTGCAAGTTGACACAAGATTTTGTAAGGATGTAAGTATTATAAAATAATTAGAGAAACTTAATCAAGAAATGAATTCACTATCACCTAAGTTGAATCATACTTGTATTTATCATTTACCTAATAAAATAAGAATAGGTAAATTCGTACCATAGGCACTTGATTTTACATAGTAACTTAACGATATAGGATTTTGAGCACACGTGTATCACGATGTTTTAATAATACCTCGTTCTGAACCAAAACCTGTTTCCTTTCAACTACGGTCTTATCATCAAGAAAATCTTTTATAAAAGGAAAATAGAAAATTCTATAATATTTGAGACACGTGAAATGAAGGCTCTAATTAATGATATTGCCGACATCTCAGTTTTTCAGCTTGATTTATTTCATGAAATAAGTGAATTTATTTCTATATGTCGGGCGAGTAATAATGTGTTAAGAAATAAGGCTGGAGATACAAGTATGTATCTAATTGCGCTGAATGAAAAAGTTAGGGTATAAATCTTTAGAAAATAACACGGTTTGCCTTGTAAGTGAATCAAGGCTGATTTAATTAATGTGTAGGGATGTTGTAGGTTCAGTCAGTCTCAATCAATTTGCTACGATAAATGGCTTGTTTAATGTATTACGCACCCACGATAACAAGTTTATGCTTAAAAATAAATATATTTTCACATCTTTTGTAAACATAGATTTTAGGATTACGTCTTAACTTTGAATTGAAGTTCTTCTAGAGCCCACATTAATAAATTTACCCATTCAGGGATATCTAATCCGTTAGGGATTACCATTGCACAGGCAAATGAAGGACTTGGCCTTCAGTCACCATGGTGTATCAAATTTAAAAACGAAACCTTACTTGACAACGACTTTACAGACACCCATGACATATTTGACCGATTTTAGAGGTGGAAACGTCTCCACACAATATTTACTTACCATGGTGAATCCTATGGTGGCTGGGAGTGTTGAGGATGTACTCCAGGGGGCCCAAGCTCTTGATGGCTTCGGTGTGGATCCAGAACATGTAGAGGTAGCTGAACTGGTGGTGCATTATGAACTGGGCGGGAGGGATGGCCAATGCTAGGGGTAGGTAGCATAGCTGGAATAAATGTGAAGAACAATATGTAACTCCAGATTAGAATTGTTATCTACGGGATTTATTTATTTACTAGCTTTCCGTCCGCGGCTTCGCCCGCGTGGAATTTTGTCTGTCACATAAAAACTTTACCACGCGCGTTCCTGTTTCAAAAACCGGGATAAAAACTATCCTATGTCCTTCCCCGGGACTCAAACTATCTCTATGCCAAATTTCATCAAAATCGGTTCAGTGGTATAGGCGTGAAAGCGAGGCAGACAGACAGACAGAGTTACTTTCGCATTTATAAAATTAGTATAGATTTCAAACTTATATGCACATACATAGAACACTGTACACAAGGCGGACTTAATGCTAAGTTAAGGACTAAGGGATTGCTACCTACCATGTAACTTTTTATTTACGAGCCTCCGATATTTCGGCACTGTTACAAGCGCCATGAATGATCACGGAGTAGCAAAGGAAATTAAGGTGGTACATGGTAGTAATCTCGTATATAACTATTCCATGAAACCATGACAGTTCAAAAAATAATAAGTATTGTAACTAGAAAGTCATAGGTAGGCTTGTGGGTTGTCTTTAGTTTAGAACAAAATGTGAAAGTGACAGATTAATCCGAAATTAAGTATGTAGCAGTGTAGCTCTTTGGCCATAGGATAAGTAGATTTAAAGTTAAACACTCAGAGGCACAAATGCTCATGAAAATACTTCTACTTTAGAATAAACGTGGTTGACCGATTCATGTGACAAGCCATGCTAACAGAATTTTAATGAAATGATATAGGGTGAAGGGAGAAGACTGTATTTGACTTGAAGCTAAACAGTTTAGAGTTTTCAACACATTTTATTTATAAAGTGCTTGATTTTCTGCCCAAATTGAAATTCTAAAAACTTTCAAATTGTTTCAGGATTATCAATGCCAAAAATTTAGCTTATTCAAAACAATGTAGCCATTTTACTATAGTCGAGAAACACTTGAACTTTTGAAGAGCTTACGATAAAGCTCGACTAAGACATGGCTTTAGAAACTTTGCTTAAGTTTCGGTTAGCAACAAAGACATTGTTTTGAATTGCAAATAATCGTAATTTATACACGCCATAGTGCGGGTTATGGCTAAAGTTTTAGTTGTTATATTTTCTTTCAAAGTTGCTAGGTACGGCAAAGTTGTTTATAACTCGCTAGCGTTCCGTTTATTGAATTGGAAAACTTATTTTCCTAATTTTGTGTTTTAAGCCCTCGTGCTGAGCTAAATACTATATTCTTGTGTTCGTTCGTTCGTTCGTTTCAGCCGAAAGACGTCCATAGCTGGATCAAGGCCTCCGCCAAGGATTTCCACGAAGACTGATCCTGCGCCGCTCGCATCCAGGCACTTCCCGCGACCTTCACCAGATCGTCGGTCCACCTAGTGGGAGACCTGCCCACGCTACTTCTTCCGGCTCGTGGTCGCCGCTCAAGAATTTTCCTGCCCCAGCGCGCAGCGGCCATCAGCTCTACGAGCTAAGAGCCCCGCCCATTGCCACTTGATTTTAGCGATTCTACGGTTCTAGCCAGTCACTCTGGTTCTCTTACAGATCTCCTCATTTCTGATACGATCACGCAGGGAAACTTTGAGCATAGCACGCTCCATCGCCCTTTGGGTGACCTTGAGCCTCATAAGAAGTATGAGGCACATAGTAAGCGACCACGTCTCAGCTCCGTATACCATCACCAATTGAGTAGTATGGAAATATATCACTCGCTAATTATTGCCTATTTTATGGTAGGCTGAGTTGACTGTATGATACTTACGAAACCACACCACCCTTGCAATGCTGACTGCCTGATGCCCACACCCATGTTGAAGTCCTCCGAAGTGTGGTGTACTTGGTGTTGCGCCCATAGAATGTGGATTTCTGAAACGTATAAGGGAGAGTCCGCTAATTTGGACCAGTCTTTTTTCAATCCCATTTTACACATAGTTTTCTTTTGTTTTTGCTAATGTCCATGGTATATAATAAAAGATAAATTGTTCAACTTACTATGTCATAAGTATTAATTAACATGATTGTTGTAAATTTAGCACAAATCAACAAAATACGAGCTCAGAGCTTCGGTCCAATTTAGCCAACCGGTTCGATAATTTGTACCACAGGGTTACTAAATTGGATTTCAATAAATTTCAAGCCCATAAAAAAACTATGGCAAAATATTATCGATACATTCTTAACAAATTAGGAAACGAAAACGAACAGTAGTTAATAACATAGACAATCGATATTGTTTTACACGTTATCACGATTTTGAGTACAAGTTTTGTAATTCCAATTATCGTAACGCACACTTGTAATCTACTTTGCCAGTATTTTGCTTTCATTTATTGTTAGTCAAACATAACTACGCTATTATAACTTCAAAATATGATTTACTAAAAAAAAATTCAAAATCCTTTGGTAAAGTTCCATACAACTTGATGTGGTACAATTTAGCCGACTAGGTGATAGTGCTTTTAAAAAATCGGTAAAAAATATAGCTTATAAATACCGAAAAATGTTTCAAATAATTGTAATCCGCACTAATTTACGCTTCTAAATAATATATTAGAAACACCCTGTGATTAAATTTAACAAAATTACAAACTAAACATGCATTGTCAAAAGTTACTTGAAAACAATGAAAAAATACTTTTCAAAATAAAACACACGTGTTTGTTGTCACGGCAAAAACCACATGGCCGATAGTAATTGAATTTAGTTGTGTATCGCTGAGTGTTGCAATTACAGACAATCAATAAATACTTTACGAAATATGAGGGTGGTACAATTTACCCGGCGGTACAATATACCGAACTCTCCCCTATTATACTTTACAGTAATTATGATTTTTACTTGAAAAAGTAACCGCTTGTCTTAGAGACTAACCCTCGTATTCACAAACGATGCTTGCTTTATGTGAAGCAGCAAATCGATCGCACAGCGTTGAATAGAGCTCTGTGATTGGTTCGTGTGTGAACGCGCACTGTGAGACCTCATAGTAATGTTTGTGAATACGGGCGTTATTCTCTTCAGAATCGAACTCTTTTGTTTTAAATCTTGCCAAAGAATTGGCTTCGGTTCCTTCTGTACAGCATCAATTAATTTTATAGCCGTTCGTTGAATGTGAGCATCAACTTTAATCCTTTAATTGATACCTATTAACTGTACCAATTAACCTTGTTTACTAATTACCATTTATTTATCGATTAGAGCTTGTATTTACAACCGATAGCTGATTGATGATAAACATAATACTTTTAGAATAGTAAGACACGGGTCTTAACACGACGTTTATTAATGATTGCATTTATTATGTACTCACGGTTTGAAGTTTCGGCTGCGATGCTACATAACATAATACTTTATTAGAAAAAATAATGTATGTACGCTATACAATTCAAACATCCTTAAATAAGGGTAACGCTCGTGTGTACACTAAATTGCATCCAGTGGGATTCGATCCCATAACACCGCTATCAGCTCAAAGACGCTATTACAGAAACTAAGCTCATAAACTCCATAAAAACTTACCATGACAAGCTCTATGCATCCAGTAGTAGCAGAAATCAACCCCCAAAGCAGCGAGGAACCAAGTGCTGGTGTAATCCCATGGGAGGTTCACAAGCCTCCAGTTTGTGAAGATCCAAGTGTAAAGGTATGATTCTGCTCCACGCCATAATAATCTGCGGAATAAACATTTAAACACGATCATGAAAGAAGTAGATACTCAAATACCTACTAGATTTAAATTTATTACAGACGATAGCACGTCAAAATAAACACATGGGTCTTAGATAGTTGTTATAGGGGCGAATTCATCCTAGACTGCATCTCACTTGACACCAGGTGCGATTGCGGGCAAATACTTGCCCTGTTTTGTTATGCATAAAAAAAGAGTTTCTAACAAAAAGTTATTGTCTAGCTATTTATCGTAGGTATCTGTAGAATAATGCATTATGTGGTATCAAATTATTATGCAAGGAGTAGGTACATAATTCTCGGTTGAATATAATAACTGAAACAAATTACTCTACATGCTGTATGAATACAAAAGACTCAATACCATTTTATTTATTACTAGCTGACCCGGCGAACTCTGTTCCGCCTTAAGGCAATAAATAAGCAACTCTTTCCTTATTTGCTCACCGTTTAGACCTACCCTGGACTACGACAAACATTTTAACACCAAAATCAGCTCAATCGGCCCAGCCGTTCTCGAGTTTTAATCAGACTAACGAACATCAATTCATTTTTATTTAAATAGAAGATAGAAGATTTACACACGTACGTAAACGTCTTAATATAAATAAAAAAAATATATAAACAACATCACCATAATATTATTTAGGGGTTACAACCAACAGGGTTTTCTTAGAAGCATTCATTAATTTTCCAAGGAAAATTTTCCATCATAAAGTGGATAAGAAATTCGTTGTATTTTTAGGCGAAAAAAAATTATGTTCTCTACTTGTTATAATTAAAAATAATAATTAAAGGGACTTAAGGGTAAGCTTTACCGCGAAATTTTTCAATTTAGGCAATGCAAAAGTACTTATAGGTAGGTATATACATTCTGAGCCCTCTTTTAATGGACATTTTTAATTCTGTTAAAAGGTTTTTCTCATTTCCAAGGCGTTTCTTTTCTTTTAATTGGGTCAATTTCTAATTACTTTTTTGCGCTTTTTTCTCGATAAGAAAACACAATCTTCTACTTCTGAGTTATAATCACAGAATTTCTTTCATTTGAACTTTTTGGCCAGAAATTGGTAAAGTTTAACATAATATTACATTAGGTTAACTGAAAAATGGCTTGGTGTTTAAGAGCTCTCACACAATTCCAAAGCTGGAGAAAAGTATTAATGTATGTATGTCTAGCTTAAATCAGTCAGAGCCTGAGATAGGGAAGCGGCACGGGAAGCATACATATTATTATGACGTGACACAGAATACAAAATATGATGCACATTTTGAAGTCACGCTGAAGTTTGACATACCAAAAACACCCTCCCGTGCCGATCCCATAGGAGAGACCTAGGAGAGTTGTGACAGAGGTGAATTGTGACAAGGACGATTTCTCCTTACTTAATATAGTTAGGAAGTTGGTAAAAACGCTTGTTTGTCGCTTTTAAGACGCTCTTCTTGACTAAGTACCTGCGGGCGGCGCAAGAGGCACGGTTACGTAAATATGACGTCTGTCATATTTACGTATGTGCCTGTCACAACTTACCTCGGTGCTAGGAGAGTTGTGACAGAGGGAGTGGTCTAAGATTTTGGTGATTTTCTTAGAAACCCTGATACTTTAGTTAACTTTGGTGATTGTTTTGAAAACAGAAGGAACGGTGCTACATTAATTTGTATGATTCATAGTTGTGGAATGTTTTTTGAGCGAGATATGGCCCCTAAAGTAAAAATTGTCACAACTCTCCTAGGTCTCCCCTACCTTAGACACTGACTGAGTTAATTTAGACTTTAATCAACGATTAGAGTTACTTTTTTAATTAAATTTTAAAGCAAAGTAAAATTATAACCCACTCACCTTCCACCTTCTAGGAATATGCCATTGGAAATACTCGTCAGTCCATCATTGAGCCTGACTCCTTTCTTTCCCTCTAATTTCAATACAATGTGTTCGATCAACATGAACATAAAGAAATATGGCCATGACTGAAAAAAATAAGTCAAATAAACATTATCAAATCCTTACCCACAGTTTCAGTAAAATAAATTATGTGTCAACAAATTAATAATGGCGCATTTCTACCTTTACAAATTTTTTGATTAATTTTATTCAAGAAAAATAAAAACTACGACATTTTTACAAAACATGACATCGGATGACAAATTTTAATGAATATCGTTTGCACAAGATTAAAATAAAACAAAAGAAAATCAAAGAAAATAAAATGAACATTTCTAGTGGCCAGTGCTTCTTTATACTTTACAAGAAGTTCTTTACGCATTCCATACTCTTTAATTTAATTTAACAAACAAGTTTTTATGCCAACATTTGCTAAAGAGGTTTGTACTCAAAAAAGAAAAAGTTTATGCTTCGAACATAAAAACTACAATACCTGAACGTAAAAGTTGGGCACCTCCTCTTCGTCTTCATACAAATGGTCCTTGGGGTTTATTATGTAGAACATTCGACCTAAGCCCTTCATAAACTCCCGGGAATTATCAACAGTCCCGTTGCCATGGTAACTGTTGATATCCATTGTTATTTGCACGAGTATCCCGTATGATAATAGCTTGAAATTGTTTTATTAAAACACTTGTTTCACTCAAACATTTATGAACATTGATCTCATTTACACTCAGACACACAATATTTAAATAAAAATTTTGAAAAAGCATTTATTTTACTTAAAAATTATCATTTTTGACACAAACTAGTTAACCAATGTAACTGCCAATTTAATCTTTTCAGTACTTAGTCACGTTAGTAGTACATGTAATAATAATATTATGTGTAAGTAGGTACCTACATTTCAAGATAAAATTGTATGTTAATTTGAACTGTTAAAAAACCTATCGTTTATTTTTATACCATTTTATATGAGATAATTCGAGCATTAGATTAAATTAATGACTTTAATTGGTCATCTCGTTATTTTATCATCAAGTTTTTTTCCCACGCATGCATGTTGTGAAATAAATTTATTTAGGTATTACGATACATTGCGTAAGGTGAACAAAATAGAAAGAAAGAAAGATACATTTATTACAATGGACATTACACAAATACAGGCAATTATATAGACATGACAGTGGCACATAATAATGGAAGAAGAAAAAATAAAAACAAGAGTAAACTGAGCAGTGCCACCCATTCACCAACAAGATGCCCACTGCAACGGGACCCCACTCAGCATATGCCGTGGCCCACGGTAACGAAGGCCACGGCGCTGGTTTTCAGTGTGCCCCTGTCATGTGAGGGTCACGGACCATTGGTAAAATAAATAAAATAGTAAGCTGTATAAAATTGTCTAGATAAACATACATAAATAGTAATATTAGTGCACAGGTAAATACAAAAGGCGGGAAATCGGTAAGGATGATAAGACTACGTTTATTAAGAATACTAATGAAAAGAATACTAATAAAAAGATAAAACTGTTTGTATAGGTGTGTGTGTGTAGTAAAATCATACTAAAATACCCAAGAATTTTTAAGTTCTCTTAGAGGTGGTAAAAGGAAAGTACTGAATTTTTTCCTTTTTCAAGATTAGCGACTTGCTTAGGCCATAAAATTCAAACCCATCTGGAATATTAAGTATTTATTATATGTGCTGATAATCTATATAAATAAAAATGAATTGATGTTCGTTAGTCTGATTAAAACTCGATAACGGCTGGGCCGATTGAGCTGATATTGCTTTTAAAATGTTTTTCGTAGTCCAGGGTAGGTCTAAACGGTGAGCAAATATTGTTTTTCTGTGACAGACAAAATTCCACGCGGGTGAAGCCGCGGGCGGAAAGCTAGTAAACAATAATTTTAAAGGAAAACTAGCCTGCTAAGTGGCGCCGCCCTAGTGGATAACACACAAACCTACCCCTATTGTAGCGCAGCGAAATACAGTTTTGATAAATAGTTCCTTTTTTAGTCGCATCTACGTCGAGATGTTTAAATTTATATTCTTGGCTTAGAATTAAATATTGAGCGTTGTTTCAGAATACAGACCAATCAAATATGTAAATTGCTATTTGAAAGTTAGATTAAACAATTATTTCTTACGATTGCGCAAGGAAGCCTATTCTACAAATTAACACTTTCGCATATTTTGGCGCCATATTGTAATATTGAGTAATGTATTTAATGAAATATTTCTCTCCATTGGGGGTAATTAGTGTCAATCGAAAACCCTCTCAGACCGCTCGCCGCAATGCGGTTTCAATTTAGACTAATCGAGTATGCATGCAGTAGGTTAGGTTTCACTTGATTTTTATTAAATCATCATCATCATCTCAGCCGTAGGACGTCCACTGCTGAACATAGGCCTCCCTCAATGCTTTCCATGTTGCCCGGTTAAGCTGCGTCCTGTAGTTTTTATTAAAACAATGACATATTTAATTGCTTTTATTCCCTGCTTGGTGGAAGGTCTGGCAACTAAGTACCTTTTTGCTAAGGCTGGTTTTAGTGTCACGCGGACTGTCAGTGTGGATCGCTCCACACAGCCGATCTGTATGAACTGCTAGGGAGCGGAGCGGTTCCTCCGGACCGCATTACCTACTCTAAAACGCTCCCTAGAAGTTCATTCAGATTGGCCGTGCGGAGCGGGTCCGCACCGGACGGTCCGCGTGACACTAAAACCAGCCTATGATGCGGATCTGCAGATGCCCAGTGCGGATCTGGTCTCTCTAATCTGTGTCATGCATGTGTATTTTCTTTAATTTATTATTTTCATTCATCAATGAAAAAAGTGAGTTCAAGGCGAGAGTGAATAGGTAAGTAGGTACTTACAGAGCAGAAATGCAGCATCCTAGACTGCATCTTACTTAACACGAGGTGCGATCCCGGTCAAATACCTGTCTTGTTGTGCATAAAAAACTATCTATACTAATATTATAAACAGGTAAAGTTTGTGTGTTTGTATATTTGTTAAATTGTAAGGGTTAATCTCGGGATCTACTAAACCGATTTTAAAAAATCTTTAACCAATAGAACCTGTTTAAAATTATTGCTGAGTGTTATAGGTTATAATATAATATAAAAAACCTAAAAATTACACGCGGGCGAAGCCGCGGGCGGAAAGCTATTAAATAATAAATAATAGACAGTGAGCTTACTGACTGTTCATTCTATTATGTCCTAATGCAACGATCTAATTAGGGCAATTAATTCTACGTCCATAGGACAAACACTAATGCTTGGTCTATACGGTATAATATCACTATCATTAGTATATGACATAGTTCTGTTGTTGTTAGTTATTTATTACTTCATAAGAATAGAATAGAATAGAATATTATTTATTTGGCACAATACACAATACATGATATAGGCACAATACAAGATTAAAACATAGAAAAAACAAAAAAGAAAAATAAAATAGATTATAAGTGCCCTGTGCCAAAAAGGTCCCTGACTCAGCATTAGTCGTGACAAAGATGCCACGACACTGATTTTCAGCAAGGACCTTTGGGGCACTGGGGTCGCCGTAAAAATAAAAAAAATAAAAGAACAAAGAAACACACAGATTATAATTATACCTAACATAAATACAAACAATAAAATCATAAAACAAATATTATGAGCGTTTACGCCGTTTGGCGCAAAAACACTACTTCTTCAACCCGTTACAATCGCCAACCAAGTTTACATTACAAATATTATGTTATAGGCATAAATATACCTATAGGCAATTTCGTCGTCTAAATAGTTAGTTGAGAAAATATTTCAATTAGTATAGTATTTAAGAATTATATCAAGATAAGTCTACACAGGTTTTCAAATTTCCACTTTAGCGTCAGTTTACAAGCTGAAATTTTTATAAAAAATACTGTGAAAACGATTTAACAAACATTTATATCCTATAGTATAGGTCCATCCATATAGTCTCTCTCACGTAATACGACCCGCACGACACCTCAAGGTTATCCATATCCACACTACGCATACCATGCAAAATACTTTCGAAAAAATATTCGTATTTTATTAGCAATATAATTTAAAAAAAAATAACTACCTTGTCTTGAAATATATAGTAAAATCTAAGTCTATTGATTATATTTTAATTAAACACGATGTAAAAATATTTTTCATCTAATGTACGCAATATGTGAAACGGAATAGATTTAGTGCTGAGGTATTTCTTGTATAATAAAATCGATTATTTCCGCGGTTCATTAATCGATTGCAGTGAATACTTAGTTATTAAAAACATCACAAAAATCAACCATATTTTTCGATTATTGACTTTAATAAACGCATTAAAAATAAATTAGTAGTTTTTAATTTAAAGAAACAGAACCAATCGTTTTTTTGAACACAAACCATGAAATTTGAATATTATCAATAAAAAATTGTTACAATAATATTTGTAATTAAAAAAAAAACATGTTTTTTGTTAAATAACACCCATACAAAATATTTCTCTAAAAGTAGGTTTTACTAACTCTTCGAAAAAAATCGATAGACTCGAAACGTCATACGGACCATCCTAGGCGAAAAAAGACTATAGGCAAATAGTTAGTTGAGAAAATTCTTCGATTTAAGCATTTTACAATAAGAAGACGACAAGAAGAAGACACACACAATGACAGATCATTACGGACCATTATATCTGTGACAAAAAAAAACCAACTCGAAAGAAAAAAAAAAGAAGACAAAGGCAACTGTCACTGTCATTTATTGGACACATTTTCGCATTAAAGTTCTGCGTGCATGGTGCAAATACATTAAGTCGGCCAGGGATTAATCAATTAAAACATGTGCATGCGCAGCCACGTCTAGAATGACCTGGCAGTGGTTCAATTAATGAGGAAAAGTGTTGCAATCTGTTCATGGGGGCTAAGACAGGTGCAGAATAGACCTTTGTCCCTCCGCACCTCAAGGGGCCCACGCGGCGCCGGAACGTAGCGTCATCGCCAATGACACGCGTCGCGTATAACCCAATGGTGAGATACATTTACACTAATATTTAGTTTTTTGCAATGACAAAAGATAAGTCTTATGTAGAGATAAGAGTTATGTATGAAATGCCAAAATAAATAAATAAATAATATGCTTGGACATTATACACTACGCTTCTAGTCCCAAACTAAGCAAAGCTTGTACTATGCGTACTAGACAATGGATATAAACATACTTAAATACTTTTTTTTTGTAATACATACATATTATACATAGTACCTAACAGCCAGGGCCAAAACCCAGACAAAAGTAAACCCGGACAAATATTGAAAAACATCTGATTACTAATAAACTGAATGACTCTACAAATACGACTATTTAGTTCATCATTCATGTTTTGTTTAAATCTAAATTTATTAAATAATATTATTTTTTATGAAAACAAAATTGTTTAACGAAGCTTTAAGCGCCATCTAGAGCAACAGCTAGCAACTTTCATCGTTTGGTTTACGGTTTGTAGATTCGGTACGAACCTAGAAGTTAAAGATACATGCTCCAGTCAGAGGGCGGTAAATAATATATTTTTACTGACTTGGGATTAAAACTATAGCTTTATTTAAAAAAACCATAACATTAATGTTTTACTAATAAGTTATATTTTTTTTTATTTTAAGGATTCATGTTGTTTTTCTACTTTCATACTTTCCTTTTTCATGCGAAGACTCGTTTAGAAGTATATTTCAGCATAATCAGGTCATCAGTCTCCAATAAATT